GCTATACCACAACTGAATGTTAAAATCAATAAAATCAAGCCTCATAGTGATCATATATGAATTTAGTATATACTTAATTAGTATCAGAAGGGGTTTTGTGGAGATTGTATTAATTTCAACAGTTGAGATCATGAGTCAATTGAAGCTAGTGAGAAGCAGTGACCAGTGGAGTTCAACCGGGTCAGTTGTGAGGTAGTAACCCACTGATTTCAATGGTGGATGTGTCGCACAATTTCGTGGATTAGTTGAAGTTAGACATTAACATCTGTTGGGTGCCGGCTCAGTGGTCTAGTTGGTTAAGCGCCTGGCGCAAGACTGGTAGGTCCTGGGTTCGAGTCCGGCGAGACGGGGTCGTGGATTCACACTGATGAGGAGTCCCACAGTAGGAAGATATCAGGTTTTCCATGGTGGTCTAGCTTCAATCAACTCATGATCTTAACTGTTGAAACACACTTAATTATCTAATATTAAAATGAGTTAAAACAAGAATTTACATAGAGAAATTATAAAACTGAATTAAAACGGTGCATTTTGACGTTATTGCTTGTATTATCTAAGAACTATAACAGTTTATTGTTAATAGATCTATATATATTGAATATGAAGAATTAGTTCAGCGAAGAGTTCTCTTTTCGGCGAATTCATCTTCAAAGCTTCACAATTGCAAATATATATACTTATTTGTGTGCAAAAGAAATTGGTACAACCTCTTCTTCTACCATGGTCTTAATGTCTTGTAATCTATTTCTTTTCTTTTTTTTCTTTCTTCATACTCTTCTCCCTTTACATCCATCTGCTTCATCTTCCATCCTCTCTTTAAATCTTCTGTCCCCGATTGGTTTATTTCTGTCTATACGATCCTCCTGATTACATTTAATATCCACTTCAACATTTCATCTTATCATACTGAGCCATTCTTTCTCAATAATAATTTCCCTATCTATCTTTTAATGAATACTTAAACCATTAACATTCAAACGACTAATAAGTTTTTCTTGTTTTAAAGTTTTTTAATACATTTGTGTATTTTACCTCACTGTCACCATGTCTAACAGAAGTTTATTATCAGTAATATTATAATTATTATCATCCTGTAAAATAAGTATATATATTTACGATTGTATAGCTTTGGAAATGAATTCACGGAAAAGCGAACTCTTCGCTGAACTAATCTTTCTTATCTAATGTCTTAATGATTGTATTCCGTTTACTATATATGTCAGACTTTTACCAATAATTCGCCTCTAGTGAAGGAACAGAATTATTGATTTTCATATTTTTGCTACGATTTGGGCACAAACTATTTAAAACGTTGATTGACTGTTATATATCAAACAAATGCATAATCTCAACATTATAAGATAGTTTCAAAATGTAAGAGTAACAAAAATCATAAAATTATAAGAGATAATGTTATGTAATACGGTGCTACATGATTTACCATCAATTCATTTCCATATATTTATTTTCAGTTTATCATCAATTCGTATCGTACGTGCATTTTCATCAAGTTATCTGTTTTGTTGTTTGTTTTAGTACATCATTATGTCTATTGTGCTCACAATCTATTTAGGCGCGTTTATGAAAAGTTTACAACCTTTCGCTATACGGGATACAAAAAGGTACGATCAGCGACATCATGGTGGCTGGCAATATGCATTGAAACGAATGAACATTGATCAAATGTGGATTACCGAACTCCTAACATCTAACTAGTCATCACTTAAAATTGATCGTCACAATCGATCAAGATTTAAGAAAAGGAAACCTAATGAAGTACTTTATGCTTAGAATTCTATGTTGTACCAAAAATATAATATTGAATAAAGCTTTTAATAATAATAATAATAATAATAATAATAATAATAATAATAATGGAATTAACCAACAAATAGTGAGACTATAATTTATAAATGACCTTTCAGCGACGCTAAAGTGACCTTGAGAGTGTTCAGCTAATAACTAGGACCAAATAAGGGTTATAAGCCAGTGTGAGGAATTAGAGTTATGATTTACAGTTGATGGTTAGGGTTAGGAATTAGATTTAGGGCTTTCATCACGAACTGACATCCGCTATAGTCCCAAAATTCTATTTAGCTAAATGGATGAGTGCATTTCGCCCCAAAATCCGAGACCTGTTATTTTATACATGATTAATTCGTCCATAAATTATAGTCTTGTCGATCCATGTGTTTCACCCACAAATAAAATGTTTACTTAAAAGAAATAACCTAATACATATCAAAGAATATTGTGATTTAATAATATCATGATAAATAACATTCAACATTTCCATTCTAGTTCCCGTTAACTATGTTAACAAACATGTATATCGTTATACAGAACACTTTTTTCCAAAACTGTATAGGCAACTGAAAATACTAGTTTGACACAGAACTTATGATATAATCAGATAACACAAAAATCCCTCCGACTTTCAACCTTTTTAATTCTGACCAATAAAATTCGTTCACAGTGAAAATATCATTGAAAAGAATAATACCATTAGGCTTGTCATGCAAATAGTTTTGTACTACATCCAACGTATAATTTAAAAATTAAAAAAAAAACTTAACAAAGTAACAAGAATCAATTATTTCGCTAAAATGAACGTTTTTTGAATAACCAATTGAAAATTTATTAAAATCTAATCATACAACTGTTAACGAAAGCTCGAAATGACCTACATTATATGGTCATCATTACATGAATTATTGTTAGCAGTATACACTCATAAAACATCAACATTTGCATCAGATGTAAAATATTTTTAAGATAGTGGTTGAAGGTAGTCAACAGGTAACCATGAACCCGGGTTTCGTGATATTTGGCACTCGTCATCAAGGTATATCTGTAATCTTGAGGGAACTGGTGCTCTCTAACGGATTCGATCCCATGTCATCCATCAGGGAGCACCAGTTCCACCAAGATTACAAGCATACCTTGATGACGAGTGCCAAATAGCACGAAACCTGGGTCCAGGATTTCCTGTTGACTACCTCCAACCACCATCTTATCTCAACATAGTGCACGCAATATCGAGTCACCTAGACTAGTGGCCACATTGTAACTTGGTTGATAAAATTCTATCTACGCTAAGAAGAACCTAATACACATGACATTGATTACCATCCAGTGATCAATCAATTGTGGACAAAATGTTTTTATTTCACTTCAGTAAGTTCACTTCTCTTTAAGAACGTCTTGAAAAATACAGTGACATAACTATCTATCGTTTGAAAATAATAATAATTTATTAATCTGTATAAACTAGTATGTTGAATTTATCAATGGATTAAGAATAAGAATTTGAATGACTCGAAATGACATATACTAATTTAATCATCCTACTGAATAACTAAAATTTACTAATAAACAAACATAAGGATATATACATTATGAATCAAATGGAAGGAAATAACTTACAAACATAGATTTATTTCATATCAAAAGGAAATAAAAAAGAAACTATGTATTAGTACATTAATTCCCATAGATTTACTCTAAATTGATCGTAGGTTAGATTATGAAGTCCAACTAAGTAAAACTAGCATTAAATTGAACCATATGTTAATAATCTATTCAATGATATTCAAATGACAGGGTAGATTCTAATTGTATTTCAATGAATTGACGAAACATACAAAACCTAAAGTCTTATCTCATGAATGCAACAACAATCAACTAATAATCAAGTTACATATATAGTTCCCCTCTAACATTGAAAGTAAATAAAATTTCATTATATAGTTTATATTAAAAGTTTATTAGTTTATTACTTTGCTAGATTTCAATTCGTTTTGAATTATTCTGAAGCATATTTGAACAACTAACTAACTAAAGATGACAATTAAAAGACATTTTATTAATAAACTTTTATCACGCTTATATCAATGCATGTGGACGATTGTGGATACACATTCTATTAAAATGTTTAAATCCTGAATAGAGAGAACACTAAGAACATCAGGGAATTTTTAGAAGCTAATAATACAGGTCAATTAATAACCGACAAACACTGAATCTATCAACCAGTCAGGAAAATCATAGGTTTATATATAGGACCAAGAATCAAATCAAAATAAGGAAGCAGATAATGACGGGTTAAAGATCAACAATAACTAATCATTATCATGGTTGACAGGACAAGCTGAGGGTTATAAGTCGAGAAATTTGATTAATTCATTTTTCCCTAAAGTTTGTGCTGATATTGTTCAGAAAAACAATGAAAGCTTCATGACCAAACCATCCAGTTCAAAGAACAAAATTCCGCCAAAATCATTCATCTAAGCTGCAATTCTTCCTCATCATCCCAAAATCATATGAGCATAACATGAATAAACCTTTACAGTATTTTGGAGAATGCTAAATATTCGAAAATTATGTTTTACTGACGTTGTATTGTAACTATCACTGAAATCCAGGACGCACGTTTTGCACTTTTAGAGACTAGTTATCTCAATCAATTTAAATTTCAGTGTTGAATTTCACAGTGAAACTCTAAGCATCTTTACCTTTGAACTCTATTATGTTATCTTCTGATCAACTAAGTTCAAATAGCTACTGACATATTCAACGGACATTAAATTATGTGAATGAATTTGAATTTGTTTGAGTTGCTAACTAAAACTTGTAATTAACAGTAAATATTAAGAAAATTCAGTTAGAATACAGCTATACATTTGGAGACTAATAAAACACAGTCCTTTGTATCAGGAACAGGAAAATTCGAACATTTATATACGTAAGAACAGTTCGTTTAAACAAAGCTTTTCGCTATATCATAACAACTTCTAAAACCAATATATGGATAAATGATTCTCGTTTACAGTGTTTAACTTTATCGTTTCGACATGCAACATGATTACTACTAATTGTTATTTTCACACTCAACTGCTTTGTGGGATAATTCACTTTTATTTGATGTATTTCTAAGAAATTATCACGTAGCTAACAAACTGACTATTTGATGTCTGAAAAGAAACATATTTTATTAGCAAATGGTGTCTATTACAATGCTTATTTCCAACCATTCAGGTAACAATCTATACTTTTAATGTGTAGCATTTACAATGAATCAAAATGGACAACGGATTCCGTAGCACAATTCATCTTTCCATAAATTCGTAGCATTGTATCACTATTCACACTGGTGACTTATTTTTAAAAGCGGTGTTTGGACAATATTTTGAAGTACTATACTTGATTGAGCCTGTTATTTCTGTTGAGAGCATAGGTCGCCTGTATCCTTCTAGTGTACTGTCGGTCGCAATCTTGGGTAAAGAAGGAGGGTTGGGCATGGGGTCAGAAACCCAGTCCTGTAGATAATAAACTTGGGAAAAAACGCTTTACTGAAAAAGTCATTTAAACCATTTAAACTATGCCCTGGAAGATAAAAGATCTCCGTTTTAGAAAATTATGATGCCTCATGGCGAAGCCTAGATTCTTCAGAAGTCACGAGTCTGACGCCCCCCCCCTGAACAGCAGACGAACAATTAACATGGGTGCATGGAATGTCCTGACAATGCGGGAGGCCGGAACGACCAGTCAAATAGCTGTGGAAATGAGGAGACACAAATTGGCAGTGCTCGGAATATGTGAAACCCTTCGGACTAGAGCTGGATGGAAATGGTTAGATTCGGGAAAATCGCTGTTGTTCTCTGGTCATGAAGAAGAAAATGCTTCGTACACACGAGGAGTTATACTTATGCTGTCCAAAGAAGCACGTAAAGCACTTATAGGATGGAAATCTCATGGATCCAGGATCATCAAAGCATCCTTCAAAACAAAGGAGGTAATCATAATGAATGTTATCGAATGTTATGCACCTACCAATGATAGCAATGATGACGATGAAAATAAGTTTTATAAGAGACTGCAATAGATCATAGCGAAATGATCAGGAAACGACCTGACCATCCTGATGGGAGACCTAAACGCAAAAGTCGAGATGGACAACATCGGGCATGAAGATATCATCGGAAGACATGGACTGGCCGGAAGAAACGAACGAGAATGGTGACAGATTTTCAACAGAAAGGTTATAGGGAGCACAATATTTCTCCGCGAACGCATGCACAAATCAACATGGGTCTCATCGGATCACACTACAGAGAACCAGAAGCTGACATTCCCTCGATGGTTACCAAGATGGAAATGAAGCTGAAGAAGCATGAAAACAAAAAATATTTCTAATACAGTATATATATTATTAAACAACCTAAATATATTCGCCACATATTTCATGTATGAAACGTTTATTGTAAACACTAAAACATTTATTTGTGGTAAATTTGTTTATACTTTCCCTCCTCAAAAGAGTACTTGTATGATCGTAAACATTTTGTTTACATGTACTTTGAGTTTATAACTCAAGTAAACCTTATAGGCTGATTGATAGGGCTTATGAATCTGTCTCATCTATATTTATGCTTTTGTTAGTCGGTTAAACTTGACTACCCACATGTATTTAATACATAATTATTTATGTTTTGGATTAGTTAGTTTCCGGCTACATTAGCTGTCTATATAGCTACCTTTCGTGATAAAAGGTTTCAAGCTGAAATAACATTGAAGGATACAGTTTATGAAACTTTTAATCTTTTTAACATTACGGGCTATAAATACAAGTGTAAATACACGATAGTGTTAGTCTGACTACTACTACTACTACTACTACTACTACTACTACTACTACTACTACTACTACTACTAAGTTGATACGCAAACGAGAGTAGAAACTATTTAGCTATTCACATTTTGTTCATCATATCTAATTTCAGATTCATAACATTTAAAGCATAAATCGTTTGAATAAATTTATTTAAAAGAGAATTTCCGCGTTTTACGATGCGTGTGTGACTGCTTCCTTAAATTATTATTTTTTATATCATTTTCATGCTTAGAATTGTCAATCATGACTTTTTTATGAAGGCGATTTAAATATTAAAATAGTAGATATATTGTGGGAAAGTAGTGTGAAACAAGACTGTAAGTAGGAACAATGCTTTTTGTGTGTTTTGTTCTCAGAGAACAAAACTCCTTCAAAATCATCCACCTGAGCTACAAATCTTCTCCACCATAGGAAGAATGTGTTTATTGCGAGGTTACAATGTATTTACGTAATACATGTACCTAGCCTTCAATCAACCATTTACTTATTTGATATTTTCTACAAACTGTCTTCTTACCTGTTCTTTAAGTGTTCTACCAACGCAGTGCTTTTAATGCACTGAAACTGTTCAGAATTATCGCAATTTTGATACCACTTTCAGCTACATACTACTTACAAACATCTTTGTGAGTAGCATTCACTACTCTAAGAGGTAAAACCAACGCTCATTCATTTAGCATGAACTGTTCAGTAGTTGTGACTTCAGTAAACTGAAAAGTATCTTAACAGGAAATTCCTCTTTTTCAGTAAACCTAGTCACACTTCTATTTTACTTGTGAGAGGATTCAAAGAATACCCATTGACAATGATTATAATAACACATTTCGTTGTTTACAGCTACTAAATTATGATTATCTTTACTTTCTTATCGATTATTTAACAGTGATTGAAGTGTTTATCCATTTTTAGAGACCATATTATGTCATATATTTCTTCTTAACTGTTTACTACGGTCTTAATTCCAGTTAACTGAACTACAATAGGAAGATACAAGCAAAACAATACCAAGTGAATTTAAATCCACTCCATTGCGCAAGCAAGTGGATATCAGGACTCAGTAGCTGAGTGGATAACGCGATGGCGTTTAAAGCAAATGGTACTAGATTCCAGTCCCAGAGTGAACATCAACTCTGAGATGCAGGTACATCCAGCTGACGAGTCCCTAATAGAACGAAACGCGCGTCCTGAATTTCACTGCTAGCCACCATATATCCAAGCTTATAATGCTTGTGAATTAAGGCAGTACTCAAAGTATGCATACATGCCAATAATAGACTAATTAATTACAGTCCTAAATAACAATGTGAAGATACAAGTAAAACAATATTAAGTGAATTTATTGATTATGCTGAAAACAATTATGAGAAAAATGCGCACAAGATCATTTTTATATTATCCAAAAGGAGAAAGCAAATACTATCTAGTGTCATTATATGTTAAGATTTTCATGAATTCATAATTAGTCAAATAATACAAGTTTGAATTATAATCTATTAAAGTCCTTTCAAGTGAGCATGAATAAAGATTCTTTCTCCAAAATGATAAAGCAAACTATGTGTGTATAAAATTCTTTCATGAAAACAATACATATGAGGATTGTTGTTGCGGTGTAAGTTGTAGACGGGTTAAAATTATGAAGTGTTTTTTCTTCTCTGTTTCATTAACTTATTAACATTCTTTTTTTTCTTCAAATTCTGTATAGTTAAATTAACTAATGGACATTTATGATTTTAAATTCAGATTAATCTTATAGATCAAAGAAACTTTTACGAAGAAACTTGGTTATTCAACTACTTAATAACTTAGTTTACTGAATGTAATTTTTTTAAAAATGGTTCGGAACCCACAGTCTATTGAATAAATTAGTCTTTTTCTCCTTGAAACATTGTACTAGAAATAGTTTACTGATGAAATTGAAACAACTAAGTTTTTATTTATAGGTATCGATGTCAAGGTTGAACCTGATGGATTCAAATCATTTGAGGATTGGATAGAAAGTGAATGATAAATATATTAAAGGAAGCAAGAACAAAGATTAATGTCGAATAATATGAATTCATTTTATTTTGTTAGGTTCTCATCAGCTACTTACAACTTATACATAAGTGGGTGATTTAGGATGAATATGTGTATCATGATGTAGAGAAGATTCCGACAGAATTAACTCTTATGTATAAGTTATAAGCAGTTGATGAGGATCTAACAAAATGAAATGAATTCATATTATTCTGCATCAATATTTGTTCTTGCTCTGTTTAAGATAATGAAGGGAACTATATGTATGAAATAAATATATTTTTATTACATCTTAATGAGTAGAAAAATTATATTTTTGATGTTACTTGACCTAATGTAGGCCACTTATCTAGAGTATATAATACAATTTAATTTAATTTGGTTATTTATTTAGTCTGAAGAAGTGGTTTACACTAAGTCACGAAACATCAGAAATACAAGTTTTCTACTCATTGGGACATAACTGAAATTATATTTATTATTAAGTTTTTCCTTATTCTTTACACTGATAATGATGTCAGTGAATAAATTTTAGTTTATTATTATCATTAGAGAGTAGAAAACGTTTATCTATAACATCTCCATTATTAATTCATTTACATGTCACAATTGACTGATCATTAGGTGGTGATCAATGTCATGTGTGTCAAGTCCTTATTTAGTGCAGATCGAATGCTGTCGACCATGTTGCAATGTGGCCACAAGTCTAGGTGACTCGACACTGCATTAAATAAGGACTTGACGCACATGACATATATATATATATATATATATACTTCATTTGTGATAAACGGATTATTCAAATGAAGATGGTTTAGTTCAAAAATACAAAACATGTTGAAACACTTCCATAATCCCAATAATCCATTAAACTTAAACGGTCGTCCAGTGCTTCCAGGTTTTCAATGGTGGTCTAACATCAATCGGTTCATGATTTCAATACAAAAACATAATCTCTACAACCCTATACTGATAACTACTATGTGCTCATTAGTGACTAGCGTCTTGAGGTAATTCTCAGAGTTCTAGTGAGAAGCAGTGACTAGTGGAGTTCAACCGAGTCTGTTGCGAGATAGTAACTCATTGGAGACAATGGTGGACGGTAGCGCAATTTCGTGGATTGGTTGAGGTTAGACATGAACACCGTTGGATGCCAGCTCAGTAGTCTGGAGGTTAAGCGTCCGCAAGCTAGACTGAAAGCCTTGGGTTCGAATCCCACAAGCGGGATCGTGGATGCGCATTGCTAAGAAGTCTCATACTAGAACGAAGCGGTCATCCAGTGCTACCAGGTTTTCAATGGTAGTCTAACATCGATCGGTTCATGATCTCAATCAAAAAACTTAATAATCTCCACAAACTGAATAAAATCATTTAACTATTGAGTTCTAATTGGAAACCAGTACTTTATATTCTTGTTAGCTAAATATTAGTAAAACCCTCTAATATGTATTCACTCACTTTGTAGGCAACTAAAAAAACAGCCATAGTTAACAAAGGACAATAATAACTTGTTCAGAATGAATATATTTCCTTGTTCCAAAATTAACTAGGTTGATTTCGACATTATTTACCCTGATATAGTTCTGTTTATCAACAAACAATGACAAATCGAAGGAGTGTTATTTTGCATAATGCGTAAAACTATGACAATTGTATTATTATTTATTCAGTAGCTAGATTGTGTATATTTGTACTCCTCTTATTACAAGGTTTATTTTGACATATAAACTATGTATTACACGATTTACTGTTCTTGAGTAATATCCAGTCTATTAATTAAAGTTTCCCGCATTCACAGCCACTTCTGGCTAGATCTTGTACAAATATTATTGTCTACTTTATGGCACGATGTGGTATGTTTGGTTTGTAAATAGGCATGGCATGTTTGAAATATATGATTCATATCTCAGAGGATGAGATTGTTGTTCTGGACTAAATTGGCAGGGCTAAGAAGGAAGCAGAACCAATAATTATATATATATTGATAATATTCCATTGAGTAGAAAATTGCATTTCAGAATTATCATCGTACAGTATAAAACATTTCTTCAAAGAGTAAATGAAATTTATTTGAAGCAAATGATTTTGAATGTTAAAATAACATGGAATAACATTGATTCATTTTATACGCTTATATTAAGTATCATCATCATCATCATCATCATCATCATCATCATCATCATCATCATCATCATCATCATCATCATCATCATCATCATCATCATCATCATCATCATCATCATCATCATCATCATCATCATCATCATCATCATCATCATCATCATCATCATCATCATCATCATCATCATCATCATCATCATCATCATCATCATCATCATCATCATCATCATCATCATCATCATCATCATCATCATCATCATCATCATCATCATCATCATCATCATCATCATCATCATCATCATCATCATCATCATCATCATCATCATCATCATCATCATCATCATCATCATCATCATCATCATCATCATCATCATCATCATCATCATCATCATCATCATCATCATCATCATCATCATCATCATCATCATCATCATCATCATCATCATCATCATCATCATCATCATCATCATCATCATCATCATCATCATCATCATCATCATCATCATCATCATCATCATCATCATCATCATCATCATCATCATCATCATCATCATCATCATCATCATCATCATCATCATCATCATCATCATCATCATCATCATCATCATCATCATCATCATCATCATCATCATCATCATCATCATCATCTAGAGATTTTCCTTCACTAACTTTACAAATACCCACTGGACCCAAGCTGGACAGAAAAGGCTAGCTACGGGAGAGATGCTGCTATACTCCGGTCACGAAGAGGACAATGCTCCACACACTCAGGGAGTCGCTCTTATGCTGTCCAAAGTAGCACGAAATGCACTTGTAGGATGGGAATCTCACGGATCCAGAATCATCAAAGCATCATTCAAAACAAAGAAGGAGGGGATCTTAATGAATATTATCCAATGTTATGCACCCACCAATGATAGCAACGACGACATTAAAGATCAGTTCTACGAGCGGCTGCAGTCAGTCATTGAGAAATGCCCAAGAAAGGACCTCACCATTCTAATGGGAGATCTAAATGCCAAAGTCGGAATAGACAACACTGGATATGAAGATATTATGGGGCAACATGGACTGGGAGAGAGGAACGAAAATGGAGAAAGATTTGCAAATTTGTGTGCATTCAACAAATTAGTCATAGGAGGCACAATATTTCCACACAAGCGTATACACAAGGCTACATGGATCTCACCGGACCACACTACAGAGAACCAGATAGACCATATTTGCATCAACAAAAAATTCCGAAGGACAATTGAAGATGTGAGAACCAGGAGAGGAGCTGACGTAGCTTCAGATCACCACCTAGTTGTAGCCAATTTGAAACTGAAGCTAAAAAAGAACTGGACGGGTGGACAAACAGCAATACAAAGGTTCAATACAGCCTTCCTTCGAGATACTGTCAAACTCAATGAATTCAAGATAGCTCTCAACAACAGGTTCCAAGCCTTACGAGATCTACTGAAAGAAGAAGAAACTACTATGGAGGACAACTGGAAAAGCATCAAGGAAGCATTAACTTCAACGTGTCAAGAGGTTCTCGGTCTAAAGAAATACCATCATAAGGAATGGATCTCTACAGAAACAGTGGACAAGATCAAAGAAAGGAAGAACAAGAAGGCAGCAATAAACAACAGCCGAACACTAGCAGAGAAAGTCCAAGCACAAGCTGAATACATAGAAGCAAACAAGCAAGTGAAGAGGAGCATTAGAGCTGACAAGAAGAAATACGTGGAAGAACTAGCAACGACGGCAGAAAAAGCTGCTAGAGAAGGAAATATGAAACAGCTTTACGATACAACGAAGAAACTAGCAGGGAAATACAGTAAACCAGAGAGGCCGGTCAAAGACAAAGAAGGCAAGCCAATCACCGAAATTCAACAACGTAACAGATGGGTAGAATACTTCGAGGAACTCCTGAACGGGAAAGCAGCAGGACATGACAACATACCAGCTGAAGCACTGAAATCAGACATCGAAACAACCACAAGCATGCTTTATCTTCTATTCAAAAAGATTTGGGAGGAGGAACAAGTGCCAATGGACTGGAAAGAAGGACACCTCGTCAAGATTCCAAAGAAAGGAGATCTGAGCAAATGTGAAAACTACAGAGGCATAACACTACTGTCAATACCAGGGAAAGTCTTCAACAGATTGTTGCTGAACCGGATGAAGGATGCAGTAGACGCCCAACTTCGAGATCAACAAGCTGGATTCCGTAAGGATCGGTCGTGCACAGACCAAATTGCAACACTACGGATCATCGTCGAACAATCAGTTGAGTGGAACTCATCACTATACATCAACTTCATTGATTATGAAAAGGCATTCGACAGTGTAGACAGGAGGACATTATGGAAACTTCTTCGACACTACGGAATTCCTGAGAAGATTGTCAATATTATCCGGAACTCATACGACGGACTACAGTGCAAAGTAGTGCATGGAGGACAGCTGACAGATGCATTCCAAGTAAGGACCGGGGTCAGACAAGGCTGCCTACTCTCTCCCTTCCTCTTTCTTCTGGTGGTCGACTGGATTATGAAGACCTCAACATCTGAAGGAAAACACGGAATACAATGGACAGCTCAGAATCAATTGGACGATTTGGACTTCGCAGATGACCTAGCCCTCCTATCACGTACACACGAACAGATGCAGATGAAGACAGCCAGTGTAGCAGCAGTCTCTGCATCAGTAGGCCTCAGCATACACAAAGGGAAAACGAAGGTCCTCAAATTCAAAGCGGAAAACAGCAATCCAATCACTCTTGATGGCGAAACTCTGGAAGATATAGAATCCTTCACATACCTGGGAAGCATCGTCGATGGACAAGGAGGTTCAGATGCAGACGTAAAGGCGAGGATCGGCAAAGCAAGGGCCGCATTCCTACAATTGAAGAACATATGGAATTCAAAACAACTTTCAACCAATATCAAAGTGAGAATCTTCAATACGAACGTCAAGGCAGTTCTACTGTATGGAGCTGAAACTTGGAGAACTACAACAACCACAATCAAGAAAGTACAAGTATTTATAAATAGCTGTCTTCGCAAGATACTCAACATACATTGGCCGGATACCATCAGCAACAGCCTTCTGTGGGAGAGAACAAACCAACTTCCAGCTGAAGAAGAAATTAGGAAAAGACGATGGAAATGGATAGGACATACATTACGCAAATCGTCAAACTGCATCACGAGGCAAGCCCTAACTTGGAATCCTGAAGGGAAGCGGAAAAGAGGAAGGCCGAAGAACACATTACGTCGGATAATAGAAGCAGATATGAAAACGATGAATTACAACTGGACGGAGCTAGAAAGGATTGCCCAGGACAGGGTTGGATGGAGAACGCTGGTGAGCGCCTATGCTCCTTCACGAGGAGTAACAGGCGTAAGTAAGTAAGTAAGTAACTTTACAAATACAACATGAACATGTTTTTCTTGATAAAAGTTAAATCATTATCTAACATTGAATAAAATATAGGAAACATGTATAAAGTTTAGATTTTATCCCACAAAGAGAGAAAAACTATAATATCCGTAATGATAATTATTTACGGATAATGATAATCAATCATATAGGAGTTTTATTAGAACATTGTCCAAAAGTTAGATTGATTTAAAAAACATGAAAAGAGATTTTTGTTAATACAAATAACAAACGATTGTTTAATTGTCTTAATTCATTTTATTTATCAGTAAATCAAGTATCAACAAATTAAATGGCTAAGGTTAAGATACGAAGTATGCAAAAGACTGCTGTGTTCAACCACGACTCTATTGAAGACTGAACTGAAAAACCTAGTTTCAAATTGATTACAATCATATCTGACCTTTAAGTAGAAATGCGGTGGTTTGTATTTTCTACCTCAGGTTGGTGATGGGACCTAAAAATAATAGATCTGAATTCATATTGAACAATCTCAAATTAGTATATAACTACGGATTGGTATTTATATCTATTAACAATGAGTTGGCTAATGCAGCTAATATATATATACGCAATGCAAAATTCCGACCACTCTAGCAATCTATCAGTCAGAATACTAAGAAGACTAGTTATATACCTTGCATTCTTTCATATTATCTAAGCTTGGAAACTTACAAGATTGTCTGTACAAAATACAAGTTTACGACACACAAGAAATCACAGTTACATTAGGCATAAAACTAAGACGGTTTTAGTAAGAAGCTGATTAACATCAACTCTAGGATTCAGATACTTCCAGCTGACAAGTATCAAATTAAACAAAACGCGCGTTCTAGATTCCACTGCTAGACACCATCCATCTATGCTTATAAAACCTATGACTTAAAGCAATGTCGAGGCCGTCCAAAACAACAATGGGAAGATACAAACAAACAATACCAAATAAATGTAGAGAACTAATTTAATAATAACTTAAAATTTTATTGTTGAAAGGCATTTGGAGTAATTTCAATAGGCAACTCATATTTATGTTCATAATTGTTAATGTCGACTAGGATCACTTTGCGCTCATTTTTAGCTGGATAATATCTCTGTGATCATTTTCTCGTTTCTGTTTTTGATTTTAAACAACAGTACATCATAAAACTACTTCATCTTGACAGATATCTTTAATAATAGTGACTCTTTTCGTTCTAGTTTTCTCTTAATAATGATCTATATTCCATCTTTGGTTATTTTTTGTTAAATTATTGGGCATAAATTCTTAAGTTTCTTTTTAACTATTTTCACTAAAACACACAGTTGGATTTGAAGATTATTTATTTAGTTCGTTCTTATTACTTACAAGTAGTGAACTGATTTACTAAAATTTATTTCTGATATCCGTCTACGTGTATTATCTGATCATAAGCATTAAGACAATCTAAGTCCTTTTTCGTGAACAAGTGAGTAGGCTCAACGAATCACCAAGACCATCATCTCTTTCTGGAGCACTGTTTGAGATAACTGCGTAAGGCACAAAATGAATCCCATGGTTACCACTGGTCCTAAAACCCGGATAACGAAGGAGAGTTTGAGATGAGGTCAGCAACTCCATCTCGTGGAAAATAACTTTCCTAACAAAACGCTAACCAGATTAACTCACTTGAACCATGTACACTCAACCCTGAAAGTTGAAGGATCTTCGTTTAAAAGAATTATGCGGCCTTACGTTGAAAGTCGAGGTTCTTCTGAAATCATGAGGTCGATGTCCTATCTAACAACCGAGATCAACAGACCGGACTCCGTAAGGACTGGTCATGCACAGACCAAATTGCAACACTATGGATCATCATTGAACAATCAGTTGAGTGATATTCGTCACTATACATCGACATCCTTGACTATGTGAATGCATTTGACAGTGTGGATAGGAGAACGTTTTGGAACCATCTTCGACACTATACTGTTAGTAGCTGAGAAAATCATCAACATCATCCGGAATTTATACAATTGACTACATTGCAATGTTGCTCATGGAAAATAGCTGTCAGATGCATTTCAAGTGAAGACCGGTGTCTGACAAGGCTGATAACTCTCCCCCTTTCTCTTTCTTCTGGCAGTCGGCTCACACATCTCAGAGGAAGCACAGAATACAATGGACAGTTAAGTTGCAACTAGACGAATTGGATTTCGCAGATAACCTAGTTCTTTTATTCCATACACACCAACAAACGCAGGTGAAGACAGCCAGTGATGTAGTAGCCACTGCAGTGGTAAACTTCAGCATTCGCAATGGAACCGTAGAACCCGAAAATACAGCAGAAAGAGTACCAACACAATCACACCTGTTGGGCAAGCTCTGGAAGACGTGGAACGTTTTAAGTATTTGAACTTCATCATCGATGAATAAGGAATTTCTATGCAGATTTGAAGGCACAGATTCGCAAAACAAGGATATCATCCCTACAACTCAAGAATATAGACAACTCAAAACATAGGTCACCAAGCCAACATCAGAGTCAGAATCTTCAATTCACATCAAAACAGTTCTACTGTACAGAGCTGAAACTTGGAGAACTACTACAACCGTCATCAATAAAGTACAGGTTTTTATAATCAATTGTTTACTCAAAATACTCAATATTCGTTGACCGTCCGTAACAACCTATCGTGGAAAAGATAAAACCAACTTCTAGATAAGGAGCGAATTAGGAAAATACCGTAGAAGTGAGTAGAATGTACGTCTCAAAAACCATAAAGCTTCATCACGAGATTAAACATAAATTAGGATTCTCAAGGCACAAGTAACTGGAGGCAGACTTGAAGAGCATAGAAAGCACTTACAAACAGTTGGAAAGGAAATCGGAGGACAGATTTAGTTGGAGAATGCTGGTAAACTGCTTATGATCCTCTTTGTATCGCATTTTAATATTATCTTCATCTTCTTTTTTGATAATTTAGTCACTTAACCTGTTTTCTTTTATCATCCCTAAATCATTCATTATCTTTATGCAAAATATTCAAGGAAAATCAATGTATCAAATAAGAATATTCATGTAAATGTATTCTCATATCTAATTCTTCCAAATTTATTCACATGGAATCATGTTATCAAATCATTCACTTATTTACTTTGATACATAGTAAATCTATTCATGTTCACTTCTTTATGTTGATTAAATTCAATTGTCAACTGTTTTTTTTTCTCTCCATTGATACAACTAAAATAAAATTTAACTAAATACATTGAGATAAAACAGTATTTCGCTACATATTGCCTGTTCATACTTAAGTATAAAAACAAAACAAAATAATAGTAACTAAGTAACATTTATATTTAACTGAATATATCGATCATTTTTATTTCTCTATTTATCAACATTTATGTTGTGAAAAAAAATGTTATAGAAACAAAAAAAAGAGAGAATAAGAATCCGTTTTTTTTATTTTTTAAAAACTTCCTTCTAATGGTTTCGTTGAATAGAAACATCCATTTTTATGTTCTAAATATGGCCATTTATTTTCTACTTGTTCAATGATATCTGGTAAATATAGTCGTTGAGATAAATCACTGAAACAACTCGCATTATATTAAAACACAATTCATATGAACGAAGAATATTCTTTTCAATGAATTTCTCATCAAGTTCTACAATTATCTCATATCCAAATTAATAATCTATAACATTGGCCAGATTCAAGACAGAGTACATCATTTAGAAATTGTAATATGTGAATTGAGAATTGTTGTTTGTTATATAAAATCAAATCAGATCGTTAATGTTGGGGTCGACTAATATGAAGTTGTTGACTTGAATCAGTTTATAAGTGAAATGAAATTATGAGATAAATAATGATCAGAATAAATATGATCCACATGGGGTAAGAGAGAAGAGAGAATAATGAAATAAAAGTCTGAAATTACGCAATGCGTAGAATAATATGAATTAGGTCAGATATTGTAGATAAGGGTGAATGCTGAATAAATTTCTCAAAAAGGTTGTCAAGCGTATTATTAATAATAATAATGATAAAGATAAAAATAAGTTTGGGGCATCACAATTATCATTACTCACATTAAGTCACCATATTATATTATATTATATTAATCACCCCGCAACATTAACGATTTGATTTGATTTGCTATGATAAACAACAATCCTTGATTCACATATTACAATTCTGAATGATGTATTCTGCCTTAAATCTGGCCAATGTTATGGATCATTAATTTGGATTTATAATTTTAGAACCTGATGAGAAATTCATTGAAAAGAATATTCTTCGTTCATAATATTGAGATAAAATAGTATTTCGCTACATATTGCCTGTCCATACTTAAGTACTACTACTAATAATAATAAATCAAACATAAATCAAACATCATCTACAAAATAAATTTCGCCAACTGCGAAAAACACTACATCGGACAAAGCGGACTTCCTCTTCACCTTCGCCTACATGAACATCAATTAGCAGCTAAACGCCATGACATTTCCTCACTTACATCAATACACGTGGACAACTGTGGACACTCATTTGACTCGAAAAATGTGGGAATCTTAGATAGAGGAAATTCCAAAGACACTAGAGAATGTTTAGAAAACTGGCACTCAGGTCAATCAGCAATCAACAAACATACTGAAATCAATCCAGTTTATCAACTAATCAGGAAAATTATGCACAAACATAGGAACAAAAATCAAACCAATGGAAGACACAACCAAAACAAAGAAGTAAACAATGTTAAATTTAAAGTTAACAAAAGCCAATCAACATCGATGTGTACAAGACAAGCTGTGAAGCACATATGGAGAAATTCGAACGCTTCACTTCTATCTGAAGTTTGTGTTGATGATGTCGTTCAGAAGAACGATAAAAGCTCCACGACCAAAACATCCAGCTCAGAGAACAAAATTCCATCAAAATAATAATATTAATACCAATAATAATAGTAACTAAGTAACATTTATATGTAACTGAATATATCAATCATTTTTATTTCTCTATTTGTAAATATTTATGTTGTAAAAAAATTGTTATAGAAACTGCTAGGTTTGAAGCTATCACGAGTTCACTTAATCTGCGAACCAGAACAAAGACTCAGTGACCAAAGACCAGTAAGCTAGCTATTTGATGCATCCCAACCCCACTACTAGAGGAAGAAGTCCAAGCTTGGAATGGGAAAGTATATTCTGCAAACAGCCAGAAACGAGCGATCACACAACGATCCACGTATATATATATATCAATTATACGTATATAATCGATATTACCATGGAAGCATTTTTAATCATTTAATCGATTATTTAGTCAATCGACTGCCATAGAAATATTTAACATTTAATCGATAAGAATAGTTTAGTTAATTAACAATTATACGGTAATATATACGTATAATATTGGTCCACAAATGGATCCCAAAAATTACCACTGATTATTGTTATCACAGCATAACAGAAACAAAATAAAGAATAAGAATCCGTTTTTTTTATTTTTTAAAAACTTCCTTCTAATGGTTTCGTTGAATAGAAACATCCATTTTTATGTTCTAAATATGGCCATTTATTTTCTACTTGTTCAATGATATCTGGTAAATATAGTCGTTGTGATAAATTTACATTTGAATGAAAGTTTTGAATGGAATTCTTTTGATGATTAAATTGTTCTTTCATAAATAAAGGATCATTATCGTAATTAAATGAATAAGTTTGTATTTGACTTTTAATTGGTTTATGGAATGTTGTTATTCCAGCTGCAGGTAAATGATGAGATAAATGACGATGTTTTATTGAACTACCATAATCATATTGATATCTTGAATTTATAGTAGAATATGATTCTTGAATTTCATATGGTGGTTTTAATATCTTATGGAAATAAAGAAAATATATAATGAAAGTAACATAATAAATAGATAGAAAATAATCAGTATATAGTTGTAGAGATTGTTAAATTTCATTGAAACCATAAACCAATCATATTTAGACAACCAATGAAGACATATATATATGTATATATTCTGTTTTCCTGTAATGATGTAATGATTATGGAGGTTCGTATGAATAGATTTAGAGCCAAAACAATGTTTGTAATCAGTGGTTGTGCTGAGTTGACATACATGAATCTATTTGATTATGTCGGCTTATGATAGATAATTGATCTTAGACTTCTATTTGAATTCTTTTGACTAAGTAGTCTAAAGATGGTAGACCACTACGTTAATTTTTACTTCCAAAAGTAAATTTGATGTAGACTGAGAAACTATTCAGCAGTTTAGAAAAGTTTCGTAGGATAGTCTTTCTCATATCTCTACTAAATGTTTGGTCTGAAGACTCTGGTAAAAACATGTGATTCCATATAGGGCATACTACTGTGGTTATCAGGGGAAGTCTTCAACAGAGTGTCGCTGAACCGGATGAAGGATGCAGTAGACGCCCAACTTCGTGATCAACAAGCTGGATTCCGTAAGGATCGGTCGTGCACAGACCAAATTGCAACACTACGGATCATCGTCGAACAATCAGTTGAGTGGAACTCAACACTGTACATCAACTTCATTGATTATGAAAATGTGTTTGACAGTGTAGATAGGAGAAAATCATGGAAACTTCTTCCACACTACGGAGTTCATGAGAAGATTATCAACATTATCCGGAACTCATACGACGGACTACAGTGCGAAGTAGTGCATGGAGGACAAATGGCAGCTGCACTACAAATAAGGGCCGGAGTCAGACAAGGCTGCCTACTCTCTCCCTTCCTCTTTCTTCTGGTGGTCGATTGGATTATGAAGACCTCGACACCTGAGGAAAAACGAAGCATACAATGGACAGCTCAGAAATAATTAGACGACTTGGACTTCGCAGATTAACAAATGCAGATAAAGACAGCCAGTGTAGAAGCAGTCTCTACATCAGTAGGCCTCAGCATACACAAAGGGAAAACCAAGGTCCTCAAATTCAAAGCAGAGAACAGCAATCCAGTCACTCTTGATGGAGAAACTGTGGAAGATGTGGAATCCTTCACACACCTGGGAAGCATCATCGATGAACAAGGAGGCTCAGATGCAGACGTAAAGGCGAGGATCGGCAAAGCAAGGGCCGCATTCCTACAATTGAAGAACATATGGAATTCAAAACAACTTTCAACCAATATCAAAGTGAGAATCTTCAATACGAACGTCAAGGCAGTTCTACTGTATGGAGCTGAAACTTGGAGAACTACAACAACCACAATCAAGAAAGTACAAGTATTTATAAATAGCTGTCTACGCAAGATACTCAACATACATTGGCCGGATACCATCAGCAATAGCCTTCTGTGGGAGAGAACAAACCAACTTCCAGCTGAAGAAGAAATTAGGAAAAGACGATGGAAATGGATAGGACATACATTACGCAAATCGTCAAACTGCATCACGAGACAGGCGCTAACTTGGAATCCTGAAGGGAAGCGGAAAAGAGGAAGGCCTAAGAACACATTACGTCGGATAATAGAAGCAGATATGAAAAGAATGAATAGGAACTGGAAGGAGCTGGAAAGGATTGCCCAAGGTTGGTTAGTTGGCGAGTGCCGGGCGGCCTATACTCCTCCACTAGGAGTAACAGGAGTAAGTAAGTAATATGGGACATGAATAGATTAACGACAATCAGAAACACAGAAGATCCCATGGCCACTCCTTTTGAATGTATAAATCCCTCATTATAATTTTGACTGTACTAAATATATTTTGTTTGTTCGCTTTGTACTTTTTAAGCTTGTGTTAACTTAATCAGTTTACTTATTTTTATTATTTAAGGAAGTGACTTACGCTAGGTCACAAAACGTCAGAAATGTAGCACTTTACTCATTAATGTTCCACAAATATACTATTTCTATTACTAATTATATGAATGTTTAAAATGTTACTGATATAGTAGGTAAAATTGATGCTTTAACAGTAAGACGATAGCCATGAGATATATAAAATTGTATTGGGTCTTCTATAAGCAGTTCAATGCTGAATAGCTCCAAGACGTTTCATTCACTTCTCGATGATATTGACTCCTAAAAATATTTAGACCTGGTATTTTTAGAGACGAGCATATTGACCAGTTTTATGACTGAATATCTCATTAAAGAAAGTGATGTCATTTTCAGAAAACGATTATTCATTAATGCCCTTATATTTAACTTTTCAATACAACATATTCCTCACTTTAGATAATTTGATCACAGGCGCAATTTTCCTACACATAACTGGTTCTTTGCTAGTCAATGCATGTCTTTGAAAATCCTCTCTGTAAATTGTACTTTTAAATAAGTTTGGATTGGTACCAGGCATTGACATGACATTTTCGCCAACATTTATCATATCTGATTCATCTCTGGGCTTTGAAGGAATCATTTCAATAGGAAGACAAAGTTTGTGATGCTTTAATTGATTATAATCTATTAATACTGGTCGCCATATATATTCATCAGTATAAACAGATTTATCAGTAAATTTCTCTGAAGTTTTTAATGGTATATGAACAGGTTTTACCGGTTGTACATGAACTGTAATGTAAATAAGAAATGTATTCATTCAATAAGTTAATATATATAAATTAACTTTCTATGAAACCGGATAAAAGGATGTTAATACTGATTTGAGAATACTTTAATACTTTACTCCAAAATTTGATCTAGAATCACGTAGATTAATGACTTTATTCCTCGATCTCAGGAACTATCCTTGAAATTAAATTTCAAGCGGTCTAATAAATAAACTGATAAAGACTTTGGAGCACTGAATAAACAATTCTTATCACATAACGAACATTTATAACAATTTAACATTAGCAAATTTACTATACTCAATAAAATGTCTACTATAAACTGAAATAATCAAATAAAATCTTAGAGCAGCTGACGTACATTTGAGTTTGTTCACATTTGATTTGATTAAGCCCTGTTGTTAACTTATTTGACGAATAGAATCAACCGTACAATAACAACTTATCTATACCATTGTACCTATATTATTGTTGCACTTGTATGAATATGTATGTTTGAGCATTGCTTACAGCCTACGCACATAATCATTCTGTTAACTTTAGTGTTAACCGGTTAAATGATTCGATGACTCTTCATTTTCCTATGTATATACACATGCACATTTTAATCCTGTTCATTCGACTTGCACGCTTTCTCGCTTGCTTTTCGGCACCAGCCTTTCATTCTTGCTTCGTGAGCATGTGATTTCAGTGACCTATTCATGGTGCAATAATAAACGTGATCAACGCTTCGTATTCGTCTTCTGATTTGAACACCGTTGGGAGCATTATCTAGTAATAGTTATCAAGATGAACAGTATACGAAGTTTAAGGATAATATCGAATACCGACCACAACAAGTTCCTTATGCTTTAAGACATCAAAAAGAGATTATAAAATGTGTTAACGTTAAATTTTAAATGACAGTTTATGACAGATTGGTATTTATTTACTGTTATTTATAGAAAAAACAAAACAAAACATTTTAGTGACGATTCGAACTCTGGAAACAAATTACTACGCTCGATCTTTAATTTATTCAGTGAGTTGCAATTTCTTAATTGAGATCAGGAAATAAGTAAAAAAAAATGATTAAGGAGATTCTGTTTTAATTTCCAAGTTATATTTTCATCCTATTCGAATATATAGATACCTTGATTTATTATTCGGTGTTGTCAATGAATGATACTCTGTATATTTTAGATAGCCAGTCTATTATTCGACTGACTGTAGACCGATTAAAATGAAAGTTCCGAAAGATGTAATTCGGAGGTGGTGGAGAAGATTTACAGCTCAGGTGGATGATTTTAATGGAGGTTTGTTCTCTGAGCTGGATGGTTTGGTCGTGAAGCTTTCATCGTTCTTCTGAACGACATCGAACATTTCACTTCTATCTGACGTTTGTGCTGATAATGTCGTTCAGAAGAACGATGAAAGCTCCACGACTAAACCACCAAGCTCAGAGAACAAAACTCCATCAAAAAGATGTAATTCAACAACTACCTTGTTCTTATTCCTGTTTCCATTTAAGTTGACTAATAACAAAAAGTTTTAGCTCTGGTCAAATGAAATGTTTATTATAGTTGTAGAAAACTTGACTAAATCTTCCAGTTTTATTCAGTTTATTTCTTTGTAAATACCATAAATGAAAGTTATAAATCAACCAGTGACATCTGAGTATCTAACAACCAATAATATGATCAGTGATAGAATTCTTCACTTTTTGAAGCCATTTCAACCACAACCTTGAAATTATTGTTGTAATAACAGACTATTTCCATCTCTTTCTATTAAAAAAATATTCTTGCAAACTGTTTCTTTTATTGTAACTTAGATTTTTGGTTCTGTCTTAATTTAACAAAACTGATTTAAAATTATTCTTAACTGATTAACACTTAAAATGTACATCGTTCTAATTTACTACTTTGAAACAGTATGCATAGAATCAATATCAATTAGAGCAAGCATAAATTTCATAAGCCCTTCATGAATGTGTCAATAGATTTAGCTTTACTCAACAAGTTAAAAGAAAAACCAAAAGTATGAAAGAGTCCAAATCATTTGTTGGTAAACCATCAAAATACGTAGAGTACTGAATGTCTTGTTATTATGTATCACTCATTTATAGTGATTATTTGTGACAAAAACTAAACTAATTCCCTGGAATTACTTATCAAAGTTCTTAATACTCATCAAAAAATTTTCTCAAGTGGGTAGTATTATGGAAATAAAAATAATGTTGATAATATTTACTATCTGCTTACCAGCTTCCTTTGGCGGGAATTGTTCACGATATAATGAATTTTTTGTAAATGATTCTTTATTTCTTATTATCTGATCTGTCCGTCGCCATCCTTTGTGTTTCGAATCATAATCATCAATAAGCCAATCTCTTGGTTGCTGATCTAATAAACTAGTCAACGAATAACTATGATTCTGAAATTTATTTGGATTGACTTTTGTATGTACACACGAGATAGATTTTGCTTTCTCACCTAAATCCCAATTAATTGTACTTTTGTATGCTGAAACCTTATTTGTATTGTTAACAGATAATAATACATGTTAAGTTAAATCATTAAGAGTGGTATATCAAAAATGACAGAATATGAGCATCTGCCTGTATACAATGATCAACAATCACGATTCACCATGGACCTATATCACTGATTTGTAATTGAGTGATGACCAGTCTCATATCTGTCTAGTTCCTATAGTAATGACAAAATCCCATCGATTAAACGGCCACTAGTTTAGGTGACTTGATACCCCAAATACTGTGATGATACATTGGGTGGTCACTAATCAATGACCAACCAGTTGTAAATATTTTAGTTTTACGATTATGGCCTGAGTAGCTCAATGTTAACATTTGAAAATGTAAGGCTATCTGGTTTGGGTTTCAATCACACAGGAAGCATCAACACTTTCAAAAGTTTGATAATGACAGGTATTAGATAACTTACTAAAAATAGTGATACATCGTATCTTATTATTGTTAGTCTATATTAAATTGTTCTTTTTATCACTTAAAAATTGTAAAACTATGAAAACGGATTTTCTAGCAAATGATATAGATCTCTGTCTACTCTATAGTGTCGGTTACTATGTTAACCCCATGTAACTTATTCTAAATTCTGGATAGGCCAATTTATCCATTTTTCTTGAGTCACGTTTTGACCTTGTTAATTTGGTAGCTGTCCTCCAGTACCTGGCAGCTAACGTTCTCGCGTTGACTGGCAATACCGCTCTTGACTCAAGAAGAATGGATAAACTGACCTGTCTAGAAGCTTGAATAAGTTATGTGGCCTCAACATAGTAACTGACACTAAAACTCTTAACTTATCATGTACAACCTTTCTAACCATTATCCAAACTATTCATACTATGAGGGAATGATTTCAATTAACCAAATACATGAACAAATTATCAGATGTTAAATTCTATAATTGTTAAGCCATAAATCTATAAAAGCATCAGAAATGACAAATCGATAATGATAATAATAATACTAATAATAATAATAATAATAATAATAATAATAATAATAATAATAATAATAATAATAATAATAATGGTAAGATACATCTTGAACAATGATTTTCGCCCTTATTCTTAATCAGTTCATTATTCGTATGATTTATTATATCCTACAATTTTATTTTATGTTGCCTCCTGTGAATTCAAATGACAATTGTATTATTATTACCAAATGCAATATGAGGAAAATTAAATCATATAGTGGATGTGTCGCTCAATTTCGCGGATTAGTTGAAGTTAGACATTAACACCGTTGGATGCCCGCTAAGTGGTCTAGTGGTTAAGTGCTCGTGCGCGAAACCAGTAAGTCCTAGGTTCCAATCTCGCAGGGGGCGAGGGCGTGGATGCGCACTGCTGAGGAGTCCCACAATAGGATGAAACGGCCGTCCAGTGATTCCAGGTTTTCCATTGTGGTCTAGCTTCAATTGACTCATGATCTTAAGCATTGAAATTAAATCATATGTGTTTAAGATTTTTGGGCGAGACTAAAATTTATGAACGAACCAATCACATATAAAATTTTGGCGCAAAATTCATCCATACGTTTGGCTAAATAAAGTTTTGGCATTATAGTTGGTATCAGTTCATGATGAAAACTCTAAACCTAATTTTTAACTCAAACCATCAACCGTAAATGAGGATTCTAACGACTTTATAACCCTCATTTAGTCCTAATAAGTAGGTGTCCATTCTCAAGGTCACTTCAGCGTCGCTCAAAAGTCATCCATAAATTATAGTCTTACCTATTGTTCATTGACATCCATTTTTTAGTTAATAAGTTCAGTCTAGGAAATAATTATCATTTGATTATACTGTATTAATTTGCTATCAATTGAGAATTCTGTTTGCAGCATAGTGATAAAAATGTGAAAATTAATCTTTCAAGTTTTAACGGTTTTCCTGAGAATCTAAATTATCTACAATGTTTCCTGAAGATATATAGTTTATAGTGAATGGAGAACTAAAAAATACCCTTAGTGCTAAATCTATGGATTTTGAGGAATGTTTGCTTATTGATAGTACAATGAATATGAGGAGGGTTTATGTGTATACTCTAGTAATTTCAATGGTTGAGATCATGAGTTAATCGAAGCTAGACCACCATGGAAAATCTAGAAGAACCGGACGGCCGTTCTGTCCCATTGTAGGACTCCTTAACAGTGCGCGTCCATGATCCCGCCTCGTGAGATTCGAACCCGGGACCTATCAGTCTCGCGTACGAGCGCTTACAATTATATTTAGCTTACAGTTCTCCCTATTTTTTCTTTTAGTTTCAATAAAAGTGTATTATTTTAATAAACATATATGTGGTTTTCTCAGTCCTTAGAAGTTCTTTCCCTCAATCATTTATATTCTTTGGATTGTCAGTTCTCTTTCCTGGATAATAATCTCACGATCATCTTATAACATTTCAGATAATCATCTGACAATATTATACAACATATTACTAAAATTACAAATAAACAGTGATATTAGATTTGATCATTTCTGTGATTAAAATTAAGGTTTCTAACAAAACAGTTACTGATTGCTCATATAAGTGTCAAACTAAAGACGACTTTGTAAAATACAAAAAGCTGATATTTTATTATTTCTTTATGTACACAAGGTTGAATTGAAATGTGAAAATACAAAACTGAGACTGAGTTCACTAAATACGGCTTTAACACTACTTCCATGCATTATGTACGACTGCAATTTATAATTATTTGAATTTACATATAATCTATGACATTTTCTAATAACTAGATTTAAGAATCCAGTTAATGATGGAAATTAGTTCTACAATTCGAAATATTCCTTCATTTATGCTCAGCTCATGGGCTATATATATATATATATATATATATATATATATAAGATATTATTATACTGTTTTGTCTTACTTTTGGCTTGAAACTGCGTGCACGAATTCCTTCAGGTTCAGTTTTGCGTGAAGTTCTTGGATCCCATAAATAATCAGATCTAGTTGAACTTTGTAAATCAAAATAATTAGGATCTTTTATCCATAAAGGTTGACTTATCAAATGTCGTGAACTATCAATATCTGCTGATGGCATTATTGACCTATTAATCTGATAATAAAAATAATTTATAATTCATACAAGATGTTTAATGGAAAAATTCATTTAATACATTAGAAGATTTATTAACGTAATGAATGTTAGGTTTTAAATGAATTTTGTTTAATATGAAGTCTTCTAAAAAAATTTTCACTAAATCATCTTATTCGATGATTCCAAGCACTGTAGTCAATTTCTAGTCATGTGTTGGATCTTGATCAATTGATGAGATAAAATTAAAATGCTAGATCAGTAGATGATATCTGATATTCAACATATTCAACATAACTCCGCCTGAAGTCCCTCCGGTGGCTACTGCCGGTCCCAAGCCCGGATAAAGGAGGAGGGCTGGGCATGGGGTTAGTGACCCCATCCCATAGAAAACTAACTCACTAAAAAAACGCTAACCAGAAAAAAATTGTTGTTCAACATACAAATCAATATGAAATTGATTTTCTTAAACTACCTTATGTTTATTTGATTTAGATTTATTTCTCAATCACCCATTCACTTTTTTTCTCTGTCGGATAATATCCAAGTCATATAAATATCCAATCAACATTTATGAATTTATGCATAAATAAATCATAGTGCATTCATTATATATTCGATTTCAGCTTAAAATATTGATCTGACGATTGTAAAGTGTTCAACAATGAAAAATATATATATACATATATTGATTAAAGTGTTTAACCAACTATCTTTGCCTTGGCTATTCAATATCAAAAGTTAACAAATTGAAAGACATCTCATAAATTGAAGCTATGAATGTCTTTATATAAGAACTTTCGTCTAAATTTGAACGGATAGTTTCATGATATTTGAGCTCCGAGTTAATGTGAGATATTAAAGAGGAAGAATATGTATTTGTAAAATCTCAGCGAAAGAATTTGAAATAAATCCAACGGATAATTTTGTTGTCTGATTATATTTTCCTTGAAAATGCTTGGACCAAATTGCCAGGCAAAATGTTTGATTCACTTCAAATTCTTTTGCTGAAGTTTTACAAATACATTCTTCTTCTTCTTTAATGTCTATGGATGTCTTTTTATTAACTCAATATTAATATACAATGATGTAGTTTTGAATCTTATAATAGGAAATATCAGTCTTAGTTTTTGATATTATTTACCATGTTTACAAATGGTACTGTAACAAATAATTTTAGAGGAACAAACAATCAATTCAAATTCTTATGTATCAATCTTTATGGATAGAAAAATGTCTATCTGTCATGAACATATCTTTTCTGATTAAATACAAACATGTTATCAGACTGAATCATTTCGTGATAAAATTTCCTTAATAACTTCGATAGTACTGTAGTGACCTACTTTTATGAAGAGAACGAGATTGGTTTGATGGAAACAATTATTATTATAACCAGTTGTACCAGTGATTGTTTCACTATACTTGTTCGTTTGACTGTACTAAAGACATACTTCCTTTCGTTGATTGTGGCCTTGCACGAATTCGGTTACGCTCAGTAACCACACTTGTACTACTTTGGCACGATCTCGGTATTCTTTCGATACCACAAGATCGCCAACAAATACATCTCGACTACAGCCATTAACTGCTATCTGATATTTGGCTTACGGGTTGGATTATCGGCTGACTGTAGTGGTGATCATAGTCAACCGCGACTCGACGCCACGCTATAGTACGTAGACAGTTTCAATAAATTGCGTGACAATCTGTTTTAATATTTTTATTGAGTACTAACAAACTTTATAAACTTTTTTTACAAAACTATTAGAAACTTAGATAATAAGATCTGATCATGTTAATAAAATTGAGATAATTAGACGCTTGTACTATCTCCACATCTAATAATATCGTTACTTATTTTTTATGGTTGAATTTTATCTTTGATATATTTGTACTATTTCTGTGGTTTAAATGATGCAATTATCTTAGTTAGACTACCATCGATGACCAAAAAGCACTGGATAGCTAATTTTTCCTAGTATAGGATTTCTTAGAAGTGTATCATCACGATCTCATCAATGTATATCTAAAATCAGGACCCTCAGGCTTGCATACGACTGCTTAACCTCTAGACTTCTAATTCAGTGACCGATAATGTATGTATCTAACTTCAATCAATTCACAATATTGTGGTGGCATAATTAAAATCAGTTCATGATTTAAGCTGTGGAAATTCTACTATCTTCACAAACCACTCTATACTGATATCAGCATAAAACATTTATCCGTTCACTAATCACCTTATATACTTAATTAAATTAATAGAATATTTATTTTTGTCAGTTATTCTAAAGTTAATACGGACATATCTCAATAATTATCAGAAGGGGTTTTGTGGAGATTTTAGAAATTTCACTGGTTGAAATCATGAGTCAATTGAAGCTAGACCACAATGGAAAACCTGGAATCACCGGACGGCCGTTTCATCCTATTGTGGGACTTCTCAGCAGTGAGCATCCACGACCTCGCCCCCTGCGAGATTCAAACCCAGGACCTACTTGTTTCGCGCACGAGTATTTAACCACTAGACCACTGAGCCGGTATCCACCAATAGGTCCTGGGTTTTATTACGTAACTGTTGAAATTCATATGAATAATTTCCTCTAAACAATAATTAACACACCTTAGCTATTTAATACTGTTAAGATATGTATATTTTCACTAAATTCAACTATATAAACTCATATAATCAGTAGATCTCATCATTTCACATATGATTATGCTTAAATCAAATAGTCAATAACTCAGTTAATTTTTTGAAAGAATTACAATGTTTTCTTTGTTTCCTGGAAATAACCAAACGTATGTTTACATTTTTCATAGTTTGTAAATCACACAGAGAAAAAATCTTTTGTTTGTTATTGTCAAGATAGTGAAAACTTGAAATATGAAGTTAATTTTCATTGAATCAATTATCAGTCATTCTTGAGATGATGAAAAATTTGGTGCTAATCTAATCACTATTGGTGGTTTTTCGTTCTGTAACTTATATTGTCAATTGCTAAGCTTTCTTAGCCTTTCTGAGATTAGTGTTACTCACAAGCCGATTAAGTAAATAAATATGTAACACTTACGTTAAACAGAAGAACAGATCATCGAACAATGGATGTACAATATATATTCTTCTAAGTGTAAGAAACATTATATTAAACGAAAAAAATTACTCAATCCCGAATATATATTAACAGTTAAGCGACACTTAATATCACCATCTATATCAGTAGACGTAGGCAACTATGGACAGGAATTCCAATTCAAGGATGTGAAAATTCTGGATTGAAAAAAGTCGAAGCATTTTAGAGGATTTCTAGAAGTGTTCTACTTAGATCAATTTCTACTGTGTAAGTATATTGAAACCGATTCAGTTTACCTATCCATACAAGCTTAGTCAATTTATCATATGATCGGAGGTCAACCTAATAAAATATTCAATCAGAGAATAAAATTATATAAAGATATAAATGTATAATGGAAGCAATCTCATGTAATCAGAGCAAAGATATATTACTCACGAAAGAATCATTTTGAAGTCAAATAGATAAGCTTACCAGTAATTATAATGAAATCTTCTTATTTAAATCATCCAGATTATATAATCCAACATTATAGAAAAAATAAACTACGCAAACTACTTACTTTAATAATAAAATCAATAATCCTGAAAAGATCATCATTCTTTACGCTCACTTGATTCTCTTAAATTATGTGAACTCTTCAAATTCTATTAAGTTATTGCGTAATCTATCTTACCAATTTTTTAATTCCATGAATAGTTGACGTTAGACACTAACACCCTTGGATGCCGGCTCAGTGGCCAAGTAGGTTAGGCGTTCATGCGCAAGACTGAAGGCTCTGGGTTCGAATCCCGAGAGTGGGATCATGGATGCACACTGCTGAGACATCCCACAATAGGACAAAACGGCCGTCCAGTGCTTCCAGGTTTTCAACAGTGGTCTAATATCAATCGGTTCATGATCTCAATAAAAAAATTCTTTATTACCACTAAAATTATCACACAATTTATCTTATCCGCCTCTGAACTTCATTATTACACCACCCATACTTAATGTTTCCTTGATTCTAACACCTAGTAGCCTTGGACCTGTTCTTGCATATATATAGTTATCATTGATAACATTTGTCATTCCAATCCCTTACTTTCACTTATGTCAATTGTACCATACTGTTTCTTATCTCAATATAAAGTTCTAATACATATTTGGTTGTAAGCAGCTGACGAGAAACCACAAACTATCATAAATTCATATTATTCTGCATCAATATTTGTTCTGGCTTTATTTAAATTCATAAAGGGAACTAATTGCATGTAATATTATTTTATAATCAATTGTTTATTACTAGTAAATATTATACAATAGAAATACAAATGAATAATGAATTTCAGATTGTCATTATTTAAACTTACATTTATATTCCAAAGAAAACCCCCGTAAAATATTTATGATTTCGTTTTATTCATAAAAACTATCTGAATATACTACTGAATTAATTGTTTCACAAAATCGTGATAAATTCTTTGAGATTAATCAAATGCAAACAAAATCTTCGTTCCCTTTTTTTATTTTTTTCCTCCTTATTATTTCTTTTTACCACTAAGCAACAATAATTTAAGGTATAATGTATTGATTAAATCACTTACTTAGTTTGAATCGAATATAATAGTTAAGATAAGTGTACAAAGTAAAACAACAACAACAACAACGACAACAAATATCACCAAAAATCAATAAATAATATGTATTCTAATTGGTGTATAATGATTTATAGTGTTTTTATTTTACTTTTAGTCTATGTAATATTAAGTCCTTAATAATGAATAATAATCCAATCAAAACAAATTGAACAATTTAATTTATTCATTGGAGTTATGTAAAATATTATTTCAAACTTTGAATAAATTGATAGTCATCTATTTTACTTCATTATTATTATTACTAAAAAATACTTAATTACTTACATCTGTTACTCCCAATGGAGCATAGGTCGCCGACTAGCATTCTCCAACCCACTCTGTCCTAGGCCTTTCCTTCTAGTTCTATCAAATTGTTGTTCATTCTTCTCATGTCTGTCTCCGTTTCTCGACGTAATGTGTTCTTTGGTCTTCCTCTTTTCCTTTAGCCTTGAGGATTTCATGTGAAGGCTTGCCTTGTCACGCAGTTCAGTGCTTCCCTCAACATGTGTCCTATCCACTTCCAGTACTTCTTCCTGATTTCTTCCTCCACTGGAATCTGCTCTCTTGTCTCCCACATTATGTTGTTGCTGATGGTGTCTGGCCAACGGATCCTAAGTATTTTACATAGACAACTGTTAATAAACACTTGTATCTTCTGGATGATTGCTTTCGTAGTTCTCCAGGTTTCTGCCCCATACAGTAGAACTGTCTTGACAGTTGTATTGAAAATCCTGACATTGGTGTTGATTGACAGTTGCTTTGAGTTCCACATGTTCCTCAGTTGTAAATATACTGCTCTTGCTTTGCCGATCCGCGCCTTCACATCTGCATCAGATCCACCCTGTTCATCAATGATGCTGCCTAAATATGTAAAGGTTTTTACATCTTCCAAATCTTCTCCGTCAATTGTGATT